AAACTAAAATCTTCAGTAGTTTTAAAACAAGGAGAGACGATAGTGAGTGACAAGGGTTGTATTAAGACGAATGTGCTTCTCATGGACCAGTTGACTAGGTGCATTGCTCCTCCATTTTTATATTCTTAGCCCGTTAGAGCGAGTATAAACAGGTGTTGCAAGGCGTGGTCGTCACAGATGTTATTTCTGGCTGTAAACAACTAATTCTCACACCCAGGGTGATACGTGGGCAGATCTGAACGTTGCCTGGGACTGCTGCCACTCACGTTTTTCTAGTTTTCTAATAACTTACTTCATTAGAATTAAATACCTTTTTTTTTAGTTTAAGAAAGTTAGCCTAACCTACAATGAAGGAAAAAGGTATTTTCATTACAGCAGGGAACGTTCAGCAATTGACTATGAATAACGTAAGAAAACGTACGTTGTAAAATATGGAGACATTGCTAGGTAACCACTCGAATTCGGCATCTTTTCTGTAGTGTTCATACTGTCCATCAACCTAGCAGTGTTCAACGCCATGAACAAGGCAAATTTTCCACGACGTTATGAGCTCTACAGGTGAACCCGTGCTCTTTTTTTTAATATCGCAGGTTTATATTCCGTGTCTTTACAAGTTATTATTTGCCGCATGGCTTTCCTCAAGCTGTAGACCAGACCTGATGTCACAGTTAATAATATTTAGACGGTCTAGTGTGATCACGCAGGTTTTGTGGCGAGGTAGGAAAAAGTTACCTTAAGGGTTGTCAAGGATTTATTGAACATTTTATTTACATATCTGAAAAAAAGGTAATTTGGAATATCAGTGTCAATATAATTTCGGCCATTGAGATGGGGTGGTATTCTTCTAGAATTTCTTTGCTGTATAAATAAAGACTTAAGTCGAAGACAACAATCCCTCCGTTTCATCTTCTTGCTGGAATATATAAAATCGTCTTCATTGGTTGGTTTTCTGAATATTGGGAACAACTGTTCTCTCTCCTTCACCTGAGCGGTAGTTAACAGTGAGAACTATTGTTTTATTCTTCAGAGGATAATTCTACAGAAAATTTTTAGAATTTGTTCGGACTATTAATCTTGAAGAGCAAATAACAAAAAGGCACAATACCGTGACTGGAACAATACACAAATAAACCGCACATAGAAGAGAGGAGCTTACGACGACGCTTCGGTCCGACTTGGACCATTGAAGAGTAATATAACTCAGGAAAGTTAAGATCATAGTCCTTAGGTCATCCCCAGAAACCGACACAAAACAGCCGATTAACTCCTACGTATCTATTCACTGCTCGTTGACAGGGCAGCGGGTATTAGATTTATCCATACGTTTCGCTAAGTCCAGGCTTGAACTCAGGTTACGCCTATTATGACCCAAAACAATTTGTCATCGGGTTAAAATCTATTCAACGCATCCTGGCGGTCGATGCTGTGTGTTGTTACCAGTGATATCGTCTACGTAACATGGCCAGAGACTCAATGTGAGTGTGTTCCTTGATGGTAGATCACCAGACCTTTCCAAATTTCTACATGTTGACTGTATTGTCAGAGCCAAAAAAAAAAATGAATCTGGCTGCCTGTCTTGCAGGACCCTCTGACGGCTTGGTCAGTTGGGACACGTGTGAAGAGTTAGGCTATATCAAAACAGCCAGATTCTCGTTTCTCGAATTATTTTACTGATTCGTTTTGACGTCACACGAATAGCAGAAGTGGGTTCGGCTCTAACACAACTAGTTGGCAAATTATTTAATAAAAATTGGACGACATTTCGGTTCGTAGTAATAAAGGTCTAGAACGCAGGGTTAGGTAAGGTTCGTCAGGAAACAGGAAAAGTATTTCCTGATGTGGGTCTTAGATGACGACCCGCGGTTAGAGCTTTCGGTCATTTAACAGAGGCCTTCCGTTTTCTTACCGGTCCACCTTCTTAAAAATTATGGTTAGTAATAACCATTTAGTTATTTTTTCAGATAGCAGTTTTATTGTTAAGTTTATTATTCGTGGGTTCTGTTTGTGAGGAAAACAATTTAGACACGCGTCTCACGAGGGCTTCTGAATGTCTGCATGAGGTACTGTCTACGCTACAGTATTAACAAGAAATATAATTGAGACATTTTCTTTTCTATCGTACATGAATACTTTGTTACTGCTCCATGGACGCTTGGACAAGGCGAATTAACTTTCTATTCTTAAACCTTTCAAGAGAAAGGCGGTACCTTCATGATAGTCAAGGGCTGGTAGGTAAGACACATAGGCAACAGTTAGGCAACTTTATTCCGAAACGTTTCGCCTACACAGTAGGCTTCTTCAGTCGAATACAGAAAGTAGGCAGGAACAGTAGAGATGTGAAGACGATGTAATCAGTCCAGGCCGAGGGACTGACAACCTCAAATCCTACGACTTCAAGGGTGATGGACTGATTACATCGTCTTCACATCTCTACTGTTCCTGCCTACTTTCTGTATTTGACTGAAGAAGCCTACTGTGTAGGCGAAACGTTTCGGAATAAAGTTGCCTAACTGTTGCCTATGTGTCTTACCTACCAACCTGTCGGTATTGTATACCATTTTGATGTTCATAGTCAAGGGCTCTTGATCCAGGAAATTGGTTCTGAGTTCACATTCCTAAGATCAAATTTACTTCATTATCATTACTCGAGCGCTGAATGGCTCACATGGGTTCAGTGCTTCTCCATCAATATTTTTGATAAAGCATAAACACCTGTTCATTAATAGGAAATAATCAACATGGAGATAGAGGGGAGACAGCAGTTCTGAATATTCCTGTCTGATTCTGATGAAGAAGGCCTTAGAGAACGAAATATTCATAAGCAAAAATTGTTTCTTCTGACTTTCTCGTACTTCTTTGTCTTGTGTGTGTACGTCATTTGATCCTGACTGTATCTGATAATTTCATTTCAGTGGATACTTAATTTTAACTCTCGTGAAATGAAATGCATACATATTTAACACATTCAAAAGTGTGTGTTTTATAAGGGTGATAAAAATCCATATTACATAAAATTTTGTGTATGCATATTAAATATTGCTTCGGGAATTAAATAGGAATTAAACTTTTCAGTAATGCTAAAAATTGTTGATATGAGGTAATAACTTCGTTGGTATAACAAGGAAGACACAGTGCCCTGTGACCTGGTGGCAAAAGCTCTCGCTTCACACTGTGAGTGGTCCGGGCTCGATTCCCGGCGAAGGGGTGGAAGCATTGGACGTGTTTCTCTACACCTGCTGTCTATATTCACCCATCAGTGTAAAATGGGTACCTGGTTGTTAGTCGACTGGTGTGGGTCGCATCCCAAGACAAAACTGACCTAATTTACCCGAAATGCTTTGCATTACAAGCTGCTTTCTATATAGTAGTATGTCACTGATGTCAGCTAGGACTGTATACCTTGTACATGTACTTGTAGTAAATTTATTATAATTATTATTATTATGTACCGACACTATGGACAACAGGATACAAAAGCAATATAAAACACTTGATAATGACAATATTCCTCTCAGGCAGAAACTTTATCAATAAACTGATGAAGCGTGAGCGAAACGTCGTTGCTTAGTTTTCTGTGGACCTGCCCGTGACGCCGACAGGTTCACGGAGGGCGTGACGCCGACAGGTTCACAGAAGGAGTGACTCCGACAGATAAAATATACAAATCCTTCAAGGAAGTTGTCTCCATACCGGCAACACATTTTGATCTAAGGAATTGGAGTTGTCCCCCATTCACTAATCGCTGCATGATCCTTAGGGGTTTAGCGCTTCCCAATGAATGTAATAATAAACACCTTGGATTATTAATTATAATTAAAATATTTAGAAGATTCTTTATTCCATATATAAAACCTTGTTAAAAATTAGTGTTTCTTCACAGTTGTGCCTCGCTTGCATTAGTGTTTATCATGACCTAAATAATATGAGTGCCGAGTATGTCTTTTTTTGCTTCCTGGTTAATATAGATGCATATTGCTCTCATATTTATGCATTTATTTTTCATGGAGAACAGTCACTGTGAAAAAATAGTGAACTTCCAAGCTCTCTCGTGATATCTCACATTATCAAGGAACTGATAATGTGAAAAATCACGAAAGCATTTGGAAGTTTACTATTTTTTCACAGTGGTTGCTATGTATATGTTATATTACCTGTTTACTGTGATTTTATTGCATTTATTCTTCATGTATCATTCAGTGTGTGCAATACTTTTGGGACAACGATTTCGAACCGACAGACAATAACAGTGTGGCGGTTAATGCGGTGACGAAATGATAGTTGATGATAGCTGAAATATTATATTATTACCACTGAGGTCCTGGTGGCTACCGTAACCAGTGGTCACCGTGCTCACAGTGGTCAACACCGGCCAGTGGAGCTGATGCCACGGCTTTTTTTCCACATATGTTCTTGATGGAGGTACCTGGATGCTGGAGAATGAATTGCGATCCGGGGAATTGGAGCTACCCTCTCCTCCCCTTCCTCTAATCAAAACTTATTATCCAGTAATGTCCAAGAAATTGCATGACACCCTACTTAGCACTTCCTCACTAATATAATTACATTGAAATCTAAGAACTACAATCATATGATTATTATTGTTGTTTTTCAGTTTTGTTAATTATTATTATTATTACTATTATAAATATTACATGCATTGGTAAATTCTTAATCTTTAATAATCAGGATTGATCCTAAGAAGGGGAGAAATCCAGATCCTGTTCAAGGGTATCCCTTGAACAGGATCAAATGAGTGTAATATCTTTGATGGTTTCACTGCTGGATGATACTTGCTGGATGACTCATCAGCTTGACGGTACTGCATACGATCAACAATATGATATTACGTTGTTGTGTACTGCGATTCCCGACTTGGTTTGCTCTGGCCTTCCTGCTCCTCCTGGCTCTGTTCCTACCAAATCGTTTAACCCTGACCTGGCTTAAAGCTACTCTGATTCGACCTGACCTAAACAAGCCTGACATGATCTTTACCATTGCAGATGTGACGATGCTCTCAGCCATGGAGACAGCTGTCAAGTGTGAAGTCGATCTTCCCCTCAACCTCAAGACTCATGTGAGTACACTCTGAACTGTCCTGTCTGCAGAAATGAGGACCTTCTTTAATGAAGTTACCCTCAGTAGTCATTAACTTAAGACAATGAACTTTACCCCTTGATAATTACTGATTCTTTCTCATCAGAGAACTCACTAAATACACATGTTGATTGGAGAAACCTGGTAAAGAAATACAAAAATCTACGAGAATGTAATTAATGTACAATTCTTGAGAAATTTTTCTCAGTTATTTATACCTGTATAGTAAGAATGTTCATATATACTAAAAAAAAATTAAGTCTAATAAAACTATTCTATGCCTGCTTCAAGTATGATGAATGTTGCCAGGAGATATTTAAATAATGAAATAGAATGTCATAGAAAGTTTTAAGCTTTATCAAAGGATCATCTTATTACTATATCATGAACATAATTAGTGTATTTGCTAAGTATCCTGCTATGTATGATAACTGGAAGACGTACTTGCGAGCATCAGATAGGCTTACAATGTTTTCTGGAAATCTAAACACATATGCAGTATAATGTGATCCTTTATTGACAACGTTTCGCCCACACAGTGAGCTTTTTCAAGTCAGAAACAGATCTGTTTGTGACTTGAAAAAGCTCAACGTGTGGGCAAAACGTTGTCAATAAATGATCACGTTATACTGCATATGTGTTTATATTTCCATTGTGTCGGTATTTTATACCATTTATTTCCACAATGTTTTCTGTTTAGCGTTTATGCAGAAAACGATCGAATCATATACCGTCAAACCATACCACGGGTGGGGATAGAACCCGCGATCAGAGAGTCTCAAAACACCAGACCGTCGCGTTAGCCACTGGACCAGCTAGCCACAATAAGATTCGTCCAACTAGGTATATTTCTACACCATAGGAAGGTTAACATAGGCACCACTGTGACCACAGATGCAAGTTTTTACAGACGAATCTCCAGCTATCGTGGGTTCTATCCCCGCCCGTGGTACGGTTTGTTTGCAATCGTGTCATTACGATATCGCGATTCAAATTTACCGTATTCAGCCATAGTATGTTAATAAAAATTACATAGCAGTTATTCTAAGTAAATCTCCTACAGTTGCTTGTAATAGCGAAGATTGAATATACTTGTTCAACTAACAGCATCGTCAATGCGTCTAAATGTTCCCTTGTTATTCTTTGTAGTAATTGCCGGAGATACGACGACGAAGCTTATTCATTCTGTAATTTTGTAGCTTGAATTTCCGAATAAAGGCGAGCAGTATCAAAAGCAATGGTTGCGTGAGGGTTACAGAGATCATGTAATAGTAGTAGCTATATATTCTTGCTCTACCATCTACAAGACGGTTGTGAAGTACACAGAAAGCCAGACACTACCATCCACATGTTGCATGTAAGGTAAGGTAGTCAGTAAACTAGTCACTACCGTCCACAATAAATTAGCCGCCGCATGTGTGAGGTACACAAGCAAGAAGTCATTTCGACGGCATAAAATTAATCAAGTCCTATGCTGACAACGTACTCAGTGCTCACACGTCAACAGTGTACATTATGTCTGTGAAGGAAGAAAATTCGCCTAAAATATTCAGGAACAAAGAAATGGAGGAAAACTGTAATACTGAAAGAGTGAGAGTTAGCATGTTGTGTTTTTGTGAGTCGTGGGTGTTCGTACAACCATGATGTGAGGATTTAAGTCTCACTCAGTAAAAAAAAAAATGCACTTCAGACTAGAAAATTTTTTTTGTTAATATTGGGGTGCCCAAACCACCTCAAACTTTCACTTCCCATAAAACGGAAATTCCTATTTTCTTTCTGCAAAAAAAAAAAAATGAAGTTCAAAGCGAGCAAAATAGATCTTTTTGGGTTGCAGTAGTGTAACGAAGAACAAATTAATATAATAATAATTAGAAAAAAAAATGAAAAAGTAACATAAAGACCGGAATTTCCATTGTGTGGGGGATGAAATTTTCGTGTAGCTGGGCACCTGAAATGAAGTCCAATAGTCACAAAACTTTACACGAATAATATTTAGCCAAAAAAGAAATACAACGAAGGGGAGAAGCGAGAGAAATTCAGAAATCAATTTTCTACCCCCTATCAGTGGAGGGGTGAAAATTTGGTGTCGCTGGGGCACCTCTAAATGAAGTCCAATACAAGAGTCACAAAATTTTACACGAATAATTTTTAGCCAAAGAAAAAAAAAAAAAAAAAAAGAAAACACACACAATGAAGGGGAGAGACGAGAGATATTCAGAAATCAATTGTTGATCCCCTATCAGTGGACCACCCTAATACGTGTATGTGTATGCATGTATGTATGCATCTATGTATGTGTATGTATGTATGCATCTATGTATGTATGTATGTATGTAATATATATATATATATATATATATATATATATATATATATATATATATATATATATATATATATATATATATATATATATTTTGTGTGTGTGTGTATGGTGATATCTTAATATGCAAAATAACCATAGTGAAAATTAGGGAAATTTCAAGTGCTTCGTCATTTCTTACATTACCAAGGAAGAGTAAAAATAACAGAGCATCATAAGACTTAAAAAGATGAAATAGGACCTCACACATGACCCTACTCACTTACGAAGTTTGTAGTTTATAATCTGGTCATCCTCTCATATCCAACCAAGGTACGGTGACCCAACAAAGAAAAAGAAACACTTATTGTCATTGTTAGACATCACAGTTCAGATGACCCCCAGACTTCAACATCCCCACCCCTTCTTCAGAATGTAGTCATTGTACTTCCCACCTCCAAGACTAAATTCCGGCTAACCAGTTACCCTGAATCCTCTAATAAGTATTACTTCTTACAATCCTACAGGACGTCAAATAAAAAAAATTGCCTCCATTCACTCCTATCTATCAAACCTGGACACCCGAGACCCTAGAACTCGAAACCTCCTTTACTCCCTACCTCCAACCTTTCCTTGGGCGAACCCTCCCCCCTAGTCATTTTATTTTTTCCCTACACTCTCGAAATGTAGAAACCTCCTAAATATCCCTTCATCAGTCCTCTGAACAATATTTTTGGTAGATCCACACCTAATCTTCAATCAATAAATTCCTTGCATAATCTTTTACACCACACATTTTGCTGAAACATTCTATATTGCCTCCAATCTCGTCTTCGCTGCAACATTCAAAACCCATGCTTCACACCCATACTCAGCTGCATTCCCCTTTTCTTCCCCATCTCAGTGAGTGTGTGGTTTGTAGATGAATGGTTCAGAGAACCGACTTGTTGATAAATTAGACACATATGCAACTCTTGGGTATCTTTATTGAGGAAACGTTTCGCCACACAGTGGCTTCATCAGTCCATACGTAGGAGAAACTTGAAGAACAGGAGGAGAATGAGGTAATCAGTCCCTCAACCTTGAGTCGATGTGTTCAGTCCATCAATCTTGAATAGAATACGGCATATTAGCGGAGAAGCAGCTTATAAACCGTATGGCAGGAGAGGTGCAGCAGTCATAGGTGGTGTCACATTTGTTCAATGTGGAAGTAGGTCGTGCCCAAGAATTAGGCAAGCGAAGAATTCCTAAGTATTAAGATCCCAAGAAGTTGCAGTGTCTGACAGATTTGTAGATGAATGGTCGAGTGTGTGGTTTGGGGGAAATGTTCTTTGCATCTGTAACACCTGAGGAAAGGTTTAACGTTTTTCAGATTTAAGCATTGTGTTTGGGTATAGATTCATATTTTGACGAGGAATGTATCCTCATGTGGAACCAGCTGTAACTGTAATAAGCTTTTATTCTGCAAACTGAATTTCGAATAAAAAAATATATGCATTTTTAAATAATCGTCAATACACTCCATATTCTAAATTAAGAGTTATATAAAATTAAACTTGAACTCATTCGTGTAACATAAAATTCCAGGTATATTCAACCTTGTGTGTACTTATTCTTTCAGTTTCATCTCCCTGTCCTCCTGGCCACACTGTTCGTACTCCCGATATCGCACATATGTTCAACGTCAGCAATCTGTTTTCGTCATTTAAAAATAAACAATATATTTACTAAATGTAGCATCCCCAGCATGTGCATGATGCCTACTTGCAGTTGCAAGGCCAAACCAAGATAATATTTACATGTGATTACATTCACGTAGCTGGATTGCTACGCTGCCTGAGAAGGATGCGGAGGAAAATTTTCGTGGTGAATAAAAAGACACAAACTTGAAGAACCAGCTTTCATTTGGGTAACGTTTCGTTCTCTGTAGAGCTTCATCAAACCATGCTGACTTGATGAAAGCTCTACGTTTTGCTCTACGTATGTGCTGCAACTTTGTCTTTGCATTTATATGAGTAGGCAAGACCCTGTTTTATCTAAATGTTTCTGAGGACACAAGTGCATACACTTAGCATATCTTTATTGGAAACGTTTCAGGTATTCCACTCTAGTCACTGCAAATGATACATGAAAATGAGAGAATATATCGTCGGTATCATTATACCTTATACTCTGATATCTATCAGTTGGTTGTATATATGCGAACACTCTCTTTGAAGCACGCTCACGGGAAGAGCTCATCTGCTGTCCCACATCTTCGAAACAAAACGTAAGTGTATCCGAATATATATTAACTTTAACAACACAATCGTTGTGTCCCCCTTCACACCTGAGCTGTATACAAGCTCGTCTCCTCCTCAGTCACTTTGTCATTAGTCTTCGCTGGGGTACTTGTCCAAGGTGAGGCGAGCAAGGCATGTGTCGTCAGATCAATTTGCCTCTGTTCACAGAGATGACAGATGACCTCCATTAGAATTAGCCAGTTCACCGAGGCCCTATTTAATACATTTTTCCTCTCATTATTGCTCTGTACTACATACTGATTCGTATTTTTTACACTTTGTATATGAAAAGCTTATAATATAATATAATATAACTGATGCTTTAATACTCTTGAAAGACTCATTATGAAAAAAATGAAAGTTTCTTTTCGCTTCCTTGGATTAAACATAAAATTC